GAAAAGCCAAAACTGAAGGATCCAGAATGGCCCCCCTTGATTAGCATCTAAGGGTTTCTCACAAAAAGGGAGCAGACTCTACATGAGGGGAGCAGAAAGAGTTGCCTTGGGAGACACAGAAGATTGCATAGGGATAGGAGAAATGGGTGGAGCATCTTTGATGGTCTCCATGGTCCTAGTCACCAATGAATCAAGAGAAGGAGGGCTGGAGCTAGGTAAAGGTGGTAAGTCACGAATTGGAGAGCTGTCAGCACTCATCAAAGACAAGGTAGCACTTGGAGTCTCCTTGGAAGGAGAGAGAGGAGCAAGACTCGGTAAAGAAGTAAATTGGGGAAAGTCAAGAGTCAAGTAAGAAAGATAGGGGGCCAAACCAAGAGGAAAAGGTGCAGGGATGCTTGGCCTCAGGAAAAGTGTAGAAAATGTAGACCCTAAAAATGGAAGTATGGTCTGAGTAGTCTTTACATCCTGCATCTGATCAACCTCGAGTGAAACTGAGAGAGGTCTCATCGGAAAGATGAACTCAGAAGTTGCCGCTGCAAGAGGAAGAAATGTAAGGCAATGTTAAACCTCGATACCAAAGGTTGACAGAGGAAAAATCGCAGAAGCATAAAAATTACCTGCTCCAGAAGTGTCGGCAATGATGGGAGAACTACGAAGGGTGTAATATCTGGCAGTTTGTTGCCTTCTTGCAGTTTCCCTTTGTAGTATGTCAGCAGCGGCAGCTTCATCTCTCAAAAATTGTTGCTGCCGTCTCTTCTCAGCTCTGTCGAAGACAATCATGGCTTTAGAATGTTCTTGCTCTACTGTCTTGACGGCTGCTTCATGGATGGTATCTTCAACCGAGACAGGAGCGGAAGCAGACATCTTTTTTCTCTTCTCCATGGCTTTGGCAATTGTCTCAGAATCAGAGTCCTCGACCATATCAGAAGGAGAGACAGTCACCTTTCTTTTCCTTTTCCTCTGTATTGGCAGGGTCTGCTTTTTCTCAATTTCTTTCTCAACTTTTTCCTCAACTTCTTCAAGCTGCGATTTGGATTCCAAAGAGATGAATTCATCTTCCATCTCTCTGGCAGTTGTCTCATCCCTAACCGAGTCCGATGAAAAGACGATCGTTTTCTTCTTTCTTTTCAAAGGTAACTCTTCCTCTTCATCTTTTTCTTCTTTTTTTTCCCCTTGAATATCGGATGTTTCCTTCTCAAGTTCAAAGAGCCTCCTTTTCGTTTGTGATTGACCACCTCCATAAAAGAAGAATTAAAGATAAGGAAAAATGCATTATAAAAGACAAAGGGAGAAGGGACAAGAGTATACCTTTCTTCGAGGCAGCTTGAGTAACTCTGGGAGAAATTGAAGCAGCAGGAGCAGGTTGTGTTGTAGCATGTGCTATATCTGAAACAGTGGAAGAAGTGACAACCCCAGTTTCTTTGGGCTTGGTCACATCTAACACCATTAGTAGGTTTAAAGGTGAAATGGCCAAATAAATCTCCATGTTAGTCACCCACCAGTTTTGGTACCTCTTCAACACGGTACCTTAAGGAATGAAAGGGGTGTACTCAAAGTTGGCCAAGTCATCTACAAATTTCAAAGTTGCCTCTTCTAGCCTGGATTTCCAGACTTTCAAATCCCTTCTGGTAAGGCTGAGATTTGTGTTGCTACAGAGAGGTATTGGGACCCCTTGTGTGAGGCCAAATTGTCTAGCAAACTGAGTTGGACAGTAAGGTTCAGCAATGCATTTGTAGGCCTTCGGGTTCAAAGTCCCGATAAATAACTCTCTGGGAATCAGAATGGAAGCCCATATATCTTTATGAATAGGTGAAGTACAGGACTGGTCACTTAAGAAATTCCTCAACCAAGATGGACCAATGGAAGGTTCGAAAGGACGAAAACGGTAAGTAGGAAGGGAGGCTGGAAGCTGGTGAAAGAAAGAGAAGTAAAAAGCAAAGGTAGAAGGGTAAAGTGAAGCATTGGCCAACCTTATGCCATGAGTAGGAGGGTTTGGCTCGGAAAATTTAAGGCATTTGGATTGTAACTCAGTAAAATAGGCGAAAAGCCAAAACTGAAGAATCCAGAATGGCCCCCCTTGATTAGCATCTAAGGGTTTCTCACAGAAGAGGGAGCAGACTCTATATACGTGACCTAGAACATGTAGGGCTAAGGCCACCTTTTTCTGTAAAACAAAGGCTTTGGTAAGAGGGGCAAATTCAGGCATGATCCTCTGAGAGGAGGTGCAAAAAAGGAATTTGCAAAGCCAATACAATAAGAAAGAAAAGAATTCCCTATCAGTCATAGGGCCCTCTCTTTTGTTCTCAGCCCTAGCAAAATCATTATAGGATGAGTTAAGGGAGGGGAGAGAGAAAGGGACTGCTAAATCAGGATAATCCGGTCTAAAAGGGGTGCCAATGGGAGATAGTCCCAGTAAATGGCAAATATCAAGAACAGTAGGGGCCATCATCCCACATCTAAATTGGAAAAAGTTAAAGACAGGATTCCAAAAACATAGGGCAGCAGGAACAAGGAAAGGGTCCTCTGAAATAGTTACCCTAGATAGTCTGAGAGCATCGAGAAGGCAGAGTTCTTGAAGGTCCAGGGTCCTAGCAGGAATAACCCGATCATACCATTCTTGCCACTCTGGTCTCACCGTGGGCCAGCATCGGTGGGGGTGATTTATCCTCCAGTTCCTCCAGTCGAGACCACCTTCATAAAGAAGACATTGGATTTCCAGACGGGGATACAGGGCTGGGAGCTCAGTAAGGATCTCTTTGAATATAGGCCCGAGCACGTAGTCCAGCTGCACATGGTGACGCGGGACAAGGATGCGTCCATCAATAGCGCTTTTCTCCCCAGCTTTGTACTTTTCACATTCTACATCAATAATCCTCTTCAGGGCCACAGATGGACTCGTACGCTCTACGACTGATACTAAAGGAGAAGCCATTGACAATATGCTTTTCTCGGAAGTGAAACCGGGAAAGGAAGTAGAGAGAAGCCGAAGATCGGTAGAAAGAGGGGTTTTGAGCGTTAGAAGAGCAAGTGATTTCAGAACACGAAATAAAAGGGTTTTTAAAGTCCTCGTATCTAAAAATATTTTACATGAGCTGTTAAGTATTAGAAGTGCGAATACAAAAGCTTCCTTCAACATTGATGCTTTTGGAGGGAAAAACTAAGCCCAGTTGTTAAGGCTAGCTTCGAAGTAAGATATTTTGCTTCAAAGCCAAGTCAAACGGCTTCGAAACAGAGGAGCCGGCTTCGAAGCAGGTTGCCATACCCAAAATATAAAATACTCGAGTATTTAGTTCACTTAAAAGAGTTTAAAGAACTGTTTTTAGGTTCTTAACAAAGGTAATGTCCTTCGAGGCAAAATTTGAGATTCTTTAAGGTTGGGATTTGGTGTTTGAAACATCAAAAGCAATAACGACATTGACTAGATGTTGACTATGGTCAAAACAGACTTTAAGAATAGGATTGATCAATTTGAAGCACTATTTCTAATTGAAAATCAGCCAAAACCGTCAACTTTATTCCACAAATTGGAAAGGTTTATAATTGGCTCATTTAGTGTTTCATTTAAAACAATTAAGTCCAGATTCAAAGGATGAAATTGTTCAAAGTTCGAAGCTTTGAATTGGCTTTTGAAACACAAGTGAAAGCAGGGTCAAACAATGACAAATGAAGAAGAATTTTGTTTATATTAAAACCAAAGCAATTACATCAGATGACCTTATCTCGGTATGAACTCAAGCTCATAAAAATACGGAATGGAATAAATAACAAGATCATGAAATTTAGTCCAACAATGATCAATAAACTTTTGTTCTTTCCTTATTCTATCTCCCAAATCTTCTAGCATTGGCTGCATAAGTTGATATGCTCTCACTTCATAGTAGAGTTCTTCAGCCTTTATTTCGAAAGCCACCTCTCTTAATCCTTGTTCCAATTCGTCAATGTCTAAGTCATCCCAATACGCAGAATCTTTATTCTTGAAATCACCGAATTCCTCAATGAAGTTCTCTGCTTCATACTGAGCATGAATTCGAAGAGACGAAAGTTGGTCTAAAGACTGTGTAGTAGCCACAGAATTTCGATGCCAGTAAAGGAGCAATGGAAGTTGGTCTAGAAACATATGAAGTTCTGCTTGAGCAAGGGGATTAAGGACATGGCCCCTAGTCAGAATATCACAAGCCCATCGAAAGTTCTTGAGAGGGACTTCGTCCTCAAGTACATTAAAAGGCAAGTGAGAGAAAGCTGCAAGCAGAAGTTGAGCTTGTTTCCGCTCAGCTGGGGTAGGAGAAGGTAGAGGTTTATAAGGTGGGAAGACATTTTCCATGGATAGGGCAAGCTTCAGTCTCTTTATCCAGGAGAGAATTGGTGGGAAAGAATGTATGAATACTTCAATTTCGGGAGACGAAGAAGAAGGTGTGGACGCTTCTGTTTTCGGAGATGACACGGGAGCAGGAGGAACAAAGGCATTAATATAATCAAGCCAGTTCGAAGAACAAATCTTCGCCTTCTGGGCTAGGAATGATGGGTTATACCCTTGTGCTTCTTCTGGTCGGGGGGCAGCGTGCACTATCTTTGTAGGCATGGAGGATGTATACCATGCTACAAGAAGATTCTCCTCCAGACTACGCCGATGGTCAATGGGCACATAGGGATAGACAACTGAACTTCGAGCATAGGAAGGAAACTCTAAAGGGTCAGTGAACTCAACAAAGTGATGGTTGATTCGCTCCTTCAAATCACAGGTCTCAGGTACTGACCAGCTTGTCTAGTCAGAACCCCCAGAAGAGGAAGAAGTTGCAGCTTTATCTCATACAGAGATTTGTGAAAAAGAGTTTCTCAAGTCCATATTTGCAACTTTCCGAATCAAAGGTTTGAGAGCAGTTTGTTCGAACTGTAAGGGTAGGTCAGAGGAAGAACTTCTTATGTCTGTATTTGTAGCTTTCTGAATCAAAGGATTAAGAGCAATGTGTTCGTAATCCAAAGGTTGGTAATTTGCAAAGGCATCCATGACCTGAATATAGAAAGGTGGGTAAAGGTGGCTAATAAATGCATGCTTTCGATGAGGAACAACATCGACATATGACTCTTCGTGTGCTTGATCGCTGGAGGAAAGAATTAATTTGGCCATGAAATGTATCAGTCTGTTCGAATGCTAAGACGGTGAAAACACTTAAAGGATCAAAACGAGAGCATTAATACAGATGGTGAGTGACAGTTGCATTTCTGGGAAGATGCAAAACCCATGCACGTTCTAAGACGTGGGAAAAAGGACCCTGATCCACTAATATCACCAAGTCTTGGGCATATTAGTGCGGGGGATAATGTTGGCTACATATTTTGTACTAGCCAGTGACAATTCGACGCGTGGCAAAGTAAGGGTAATATGGGGAGACCAGCCAGATCTTCGATCCTGATCATACACGTGGCAGTTAATATTGGTTGTTATAAGATCTGAGTAGCAGCGGATCAACAAAGAGATGTAACGTGACGTGGCTTCAACAGTTACTCACATTCAAATTCAAATATAGGAGGGAAGCCTAACTGCCAGTGAAGGCGTAGTGGACCTACTTATAAGGTAGCATGATCAGCGATCACGGAGGAGCAGTTCGACGGTTTGAAGTGCAGTTCGATGGTTATCTTTGGAAAGTATAAATAGCAGGAAGGACTTCAGAGATGGGGACGGAAAAAAGATCTAAGAAAACCAGTCTTACTTTACATATTCCAGTTTTATTTATTGTTCTTTACATTTATGTACTTTAAGTTCCTGTACTGCACTTCATTTGTAGGAGTAGTTTTCGAGTATATTGCCACTGTAAATCCCTACGAGGATGAGATCATTGTAAGTTTTTCATACTAATGAAATGCTTCAGTTTATTTAACTGTTTTTATGCTTAAGTTCTCTGAAGTCAAGCTACCAGTAAGCCACCAGTAAAAGTCCTCTTTATTGAGGCTAAAAGAACCATAACACAATCGTTTGAATAATTGGTTGGCAATTATAATTCTGTAAGGACTGATTGATCCTTGCTGGCACGCTCATAATTATAAAAATAACCTTCGAAAGCCAAAAAGCCAACAAACATACTATTATTAATATATATATATATATATATAAACCCTCCCAAAATAGGAGAGAGAAATCCCAATAAATATATGGGAACCAAAACTCACAATACAAATAGAGAAATTCAAACTCCTGACTTTCAAGGTGACACAAGCTAGCTTTGTTGGTTAATCTCAAACCAGATTTAACTGAACAAATATAATATTATTTGAAAAATGCTTGGGAGCACTAATTAGTGCTCCCACTAATTAGGTGGCAGTAGGTCCCGCCATTAATGATGTGATGTTTTGGTCTTGGAGTTGTATTTTTTTTATTATTTTTTTATTTTTTTAATGCATTAGTACTATTAGTGGTGATGTTTTTAGTGGGATGAATCATTGTTGATATTATTTTGAGTTATGAACTTTAAGTAATAAGTTATTTAAATTTGATTTGAAAACTTAACGAGTTTTAAAATGTATTTAAATTTGGATTGTAAGCCTTAGACTTCATTTGAGAACATGTTATTTCAGTAACTTTTTAATTTTTTACGAAAAGATGTGCAGAAAAATAGAGAGAGTGATATAATAATTTATAGTGACTTTTTGACTTTTTTACTAAAATGTATAGTTGACAAACGAACCTAAGTTTATCTTAAATACGAGTTGAATTTAAGTAACTTGTTTTGTTTTACGATTCTACTAATACTGTACAATCTAATAAATCTCATAATTTATTTTTTTGACCTAATGGTGCGTCTAGCACCTGATATAGGTTGAAGTAATTAGTAATATATATAATTTATTAATTTATGTAAGGTGTTTCATAAGTTACTTATAAATTCAATGTTTCTTCTTCTACAATCTCCAAGTCTTTTCCTTTCCTTTTTTTTTTATTTATTTATTTTTTTTGAAAAGAGTAGTGGTTGCATAAGCATGCTTAATCTAGACTTGCCTACTTACAAATCAAGATTTGTCTTACAAGTTAAAAATTGTGTCTTGCTCCTAGGTATTATCATGATTGGGTGCTTGTAATTTTAGAGGCAGATCCCACAATAATGGTGTAATTTCTTAAACTAAATTGTGCTGAACCCCACAATTTTAGCAGTTATGTGATATTTGGTAATTAGTAATATTTTGAATAAATTATATTGAATTCTCATAAAATTTAGAAAAAAAATATAATAAGTCTTATAAATTTCTCATATTTTTATTAAACTTTCTTAAGGTTTTAATTGACATAACATTTAATTCATTTTTAATTAAAAATTCATTAGTTATATAGATAAAAATAAATAAGGCTGTCACCTTTTTTTATAAAGAAATGTATAATTTTTTTATTATTTATCTTTATGTTTTCACGCCATTTAACTATGATGTGTTTAGTTTTATTAAAAAAAAATCTGTATAATTGTATTACAATTAAAAAATTTATTATATATTTTTTAAATCTCAAGGAGTTCAGTATAATAACTCTAATATTTTTTAGTTATGATATCGAAAAAATAAAACTTTCATCTACCCTGTAGTTTGGATTGGAGGTTCAGTTTTGTTCCATCCCATCTCAAATTCCACTCATCTATGCAAAAAGTTCAGATTGATTAGATGGGGACGTGTTTAGTTTGTATTTTGAGATAATGTTTTTTTAAAAAAAAAATTTAAGGGAGAATTTAGAAAAATAATTGAGAATGATTTGATGAGAATGATAAAAATAATTTTTGAATTTGAGATGATTTGATATTTTATTGTAATTGAGTAAATGTGTGTGAGAGAAAAAATAATTGAGAATGAGAGAGGAGAGAGAAAAATGATTGATTGATGTGTAATAGAGACAGAAGTTGTAACAATTCAGATTTTTAATTATTCTGTAGAATTTATACTAATATTATTTAATCTCAGTTAAGAAAATATATAATTTATTATATATTATTATGTGTAATTTTGTAAAATAATATAATTATTAAAAGTTTAGGAGTCAAAATATAAATAATAATAATATAGATAATACAAATAATAATAATTATGAGTATGGTATTAAAATAAATAATTAATTTTATGTTGATATACGATAAAATGTAATTTACTTAAGAATTAAATTATTTATATAATTATATTAAAATATTGAGTCAAAAGTTAATTATCTTAACTATTTATTTAGGATAAGATTGAATCTATATATATTTATGACGAATCTGGAGGGATAGAGATGGCTCGGCCACGTGTTGGCCAAGGAGTGGCGTCACCTCCCTATAAATAGGGAGAAGAATCAATCTGGAGAAGAAAAAAGAAAGGAAAGAAAGGAAAGAAGAAAAGAGAGGAGAGAAAGAAGAAAGAAATTTTGGAAGGTGAAAGAGTCTTTAACAATTGAAAGAAAGAGTGAGGTATTAAAATTAAGTTGAGTTATATTATATTTTGAATCATTAAAATATTTTTGACATATGTTTTGACTTATTAAAATCTGTTTTACACAAGTTATGTTTTATTAGTATATTAATAAAAGTTATATTTTATAAAGATTTTAGTTACATGGTTTTATTTCTGAACCCTATTTGCTTAAAAGGAAATCCATGGATATATTTGTTTTACTTTTAAAGAATATTTGGCTATGACCTTATATAAAATTATATTTTGTAAGTACCACCACGGGAGTCTCATGCCTTGGGGGACTTAAATAACTATTGGCCTTTGTTTGGTTACTTTGTGGCCCTCTGATCCATTGACCTCTGTTCTGTGCGGAGGAAAGTGCTGTACGAAACTAAGTGCTACACTATTGTGGGAGCCACCTTTAGAATTCGTACGAGCCACCTCTTGAATCCGTACCTCTGTTCTGTGCGGACCAAAGTGCTGTACGGAGCTAAGTGCTACACTATCGTGGGAGCCACCTCTAGAATCCGTACCTCTGTTCTGACTGTCACTTCTGTGACCTCTGCTCTGTTCTGTTATGTTCTGTACCGTGGTTGTATTTCAGTTTTTGCTACTTAAATGATTTCTGCTACTCAAATGATTTGTTTATGTAAATGTTTTGGCTACATAATTATCCATAGTTATTTCGTGCCCTTATACTCTTGGTATAATATTTCTCACTCTGCCATGTGCTTATAGTTGTTTACCAATTTTCAGGAATCAATGCACTTCAGAAATAGCTTTTTGAAAAGTCGGGTTGCGGAATAGACACACACAGTATTTTTATGACATTTTTATATGTAAATATCGGCCTTTTTGGTCAATATATTTTGTAATAAAAATAGAAGCTCCAATGATTATTTTGGTACCCTTACTTAAATATTTCTTTCGCTTGCGTTTATTAATTTGTTTATGAATTGGCCGTAGGTAACTTCAGTTACTGGCCATCACGATACTTAACCCTTAGGTACGGGAAGCGGGTCGTGACAGAAGTAATGTTGAAATTTTTTTGAGAAAATTTGTAACCAAACATGTTTTTAAAAATTTTCTTTCAAAAACATGTTTCAAAACACAAACCAAACGCGCCAGGTGTTTGGAATTGTCTTAAAAAATAAATGATGTTTTAAAATTATGTTTATTGTCTATTTTTTTTATTTATAAAACAAATACAATTTAAACATGTCTGTTTGTTTCTAGTTTTTAGAATTCACTTTTAAGAAAATTTTACTTTTTTTTTAATTGAATTTTTTTAATATTTTAAGCAATTTTTTTAATTTTTAGACACACCTAATATAAATACACTTAGAAAGTATAATATTTGTGAAAAAAAATCTTTAAAAAAATCACCAAAGACCAAAAATATTTAAAAATACAAAAATTCAGTACATTTTTCATATTTTTGTATATTTATTAATTTTTTAAAATATTTTTTCACAAATAATTTACTATTTAGATACATCTAAGTAAGGTAAATTTAAAAAAGTAAAAAAAAAATTAAAATTTTAAAAATATTTACGAAAAATAAAAATAAAAAACATGAAAAACAAAAAACTTAATTTTCAGAAAATTAAATTCAGAAAACTGAAACTAAACACACTGATTGATATTTGATTTAAATAACAATGTGTTTATTTTTTTTCACTTTTTTGAAAAATTCATAATTATTTCTTTTTTGCAAATGCTTTACCTTTTTTTTAGTGTATCTAGATTAGATACTTCTAAAAAAAAAAAAAAAACTATGTAAAAAAAAAAAAAAAAAAAAAACCTTCATTAAAATCAAAAAAATTATAAATATGAACCAAAAAATTCAAGAATAATTTTTGAGTTTGAAAAACCAAACAAGGTAAGGCTTTTTTAGTAATTGTCAAACAAGATAAATCTTATTAAAAAAATAGTTTTTTTTTTCCTTTACAATTACCGACTATAAAAAAACAGTAACCAAACCATCTAAATTTTTTGTGATTTAGTCTTCGTTTGGGAAGAGTTAAAATAACTTAATTTTTTGGCTTTTTAACTATTTAAGCCTGGTTTTTTTAGCTTCATTTGGTTTTTATTTTTTACTTTTTTAACTTTTGTGAGAGAAAAAGTGTAATGATTATGGTTTGGATATGGCATTTTGTCTTATTGACTTATGTAGCCTATTTTGTCTTTTCTGTTTTTTTAACCCAAAAGCCAAAACCAAACATAGCTTTAAAATAGTGACTAGAAAAAAAATAAAATAAATAAATAAATAAAAATCATATCCAAACAGATCCTCAAATATGTTGAAATAGAGAAATTATTTTTTACTTTGGACACAAATTTATGTGGTGCTCCAATTTGATACGGTGTCCCAACTTGATATTCAGGAGATATTTTGCACTTGGTTAAAATAGTTAAAAAATCACTACAAAAAATTAATCTATTCTTCTTATTATTTTATATATTTTTTTGTAAAAAGTCAAAAAATTACTAAAAAAGTCACTAAAAATTTTATTTCTAAACTAATTGTCATTTGTTAAAACAATAGGACCCAATACTTTTTGTTAATTTTTTTTTTAAAAAAAACCTAATAAATATTAAATGACAAATGATATTATATATACTATATATCAAGGAAAATGACGTTTCTAATGAAAAGCTTTTTAAGAACTCCAAACTCTCGTTCCAAAATTTAAAATTTTTTGATTTTAAATAATTAAAAAATATTTTATTGGCTAGCCTCATTTAAGCAAAATAAATAAATAACATTTATTGATTTATGCCTTTCAAATGAAAAGTATATTATTCCATTTCAAAATTTAAATTTCAAGGCCACTAAATATGAAAAGAAATCTAAATTAAAATATATATATATATATATATATTGTTTAAAGCAAGGGAGAGAGTAATTCTTCAAAGTAAATTTTTGATTTTTTTATAATTAAAAATAAATTCTAAAAATGCTATTGGCTAATCCATTAAACTAACAATTTTAAAAATATAAATAATCACATAATTTATGATTTCAAAAAGAAAATATAAATAAATGGAAAGAAAAAAAAAACCCTTTCCTAATATCCCTAATCTTCCTAAATGCGTTAGCTCTCATTCAATAGTTAAACAAACAAACAAACAAAAAAAAACCAACAACAACAACGACAAAGATGATATACGAATTTGAAACGGAAAATTAACAAATTTATGTCAAAATTCAAATTTAGAAATTTGAAAAGAAAAGTTGATTAATCAATTTCAAAATTTAAATTTGGGTAACACTAAAATATAAGAATCAATCCTCATTTTCTATAGGTGTTTTCTCTGACTATTTAATGGCTTTAAAAAAAAAAATTTCTAAGCCATGATATACAAATTCGAAAGGGAAAGTTAACAAGTTTATGTCAAAATTCAAATTTAGGAATTTGAAAAGAAAAGTTAATTAATCAATTTGAAAATTTAAATTTGGATAACACTAAAATATAAGAATCAATCCAAATTTTCTATAGGTGTTTTCTCTTACTATTTAATGGCTTTTGTATGGGAAAGAAATAAACCCTCTCGTATAATCCTATTGATCAAGTCTGCGCTCCTCCGTACGTCGTCGCTTTACTCCCTGAAAACACAAACGTGAGCTAGCCGGCGGGTGTGTACCGGATACCTCTCTGATGCCTAAGTCAGCAAAAATAAACAAATAGACAAAGCTCTGTGTATTCGAGAATCAAAGTTGTGTTACCTCTCCATAGGTGATGTTGTGAGCTTTTATAGGTTTCGCGTGGCACAATCCTAGTAGGACTTTTACTCATCCATGTAGAGTCCTCCTAGGAGTCATACTCCTGAAAGATAATGCTTATCCTTCAACACCCCCCTCACTGCTTAAACCAAGTGAGATGGTTTTACCATGGTCGGATTCTAATACGACCGATGTAAGCATGGCTTTGCTAAGCCGCAGACTAGACCGAACTATAGCTAGTTTGGTTCTTCCTTTCACTGCTCTTACCTCGGTTTCTCATGTACAAACCATGGTGTGATCAGACCGAGCTAATCAAATAGCAAGGTTCTAACCGAACTAACCACGATAAGCCATGACCGGGCTAACTTTGAGTATGGTGACCGGGCTATATGCAAAGCTTCTCTAGACCGGACTAACTTCAAGGTTCTTTCGGACCGGGATAACAATAAGGCTTACCAGGACCAGGCTAACTACAAGCTCCCTTTCATCCAGCCCTTCTTACTGTGGCCCAAAGAACGGCCCATTTACCCATTTCGGCCCAATTTAGGTATAAATTACCCTCTCAATTACCCCTTAATTCCATCTACGCAGCATGATAGGGATTTACTTGTTTTACTAGCCGAGCTAAAAACTTTAGTCTTACAACCGAGCTAAACTTTTAAGCCTTTACAGCCGTGCTAAGACTATTTAGCCTTTCCAGCCGAGCTAAATTCACACCAGGCTCTAGCTGTCCGGTCAAAACGTCTCTTCAATCACAGCAACTGAATCGCTTCTCATTCCAATGACACGTGGCATACTCCGATTGGCCCAAGGCAGCTGTCACACCGTCTTTGTATCTCGTGTTTTTTGAATAGTCCCGCCCAAATTTTGGGCCTTCCACAAAACAAATCTCTTCAATCTTTTTTTGAATCATTCATACCACTATTCACCTCCTTTTCTCTCTCTTTTCGAGCCTCCATTGTTCTTTAACTTTGCAACTGTGAAGCTTGTGGTCCTTGCTGTACTCTACTTCTATTTCCTTCCTCTTAACCTGGTAAGTAACACAAATCTGTTCTCTTTTTACACTGTATTGTTTTCAATCCACAGCATATTGTTTATGTGCCTTTTACAAAACACATTTTTTCTTTTCCTTGCGTTTTTTGGGAAAAACCTTACAAGAACCACTTGTATTTCACTAAGCAATCTGTAGAACACTGTATTTGATCCAAAATCACAATATAACCGAACTAGGAAGTTGTTTGTAGTTGATGTCACTCTAGCCAGACTACCAGCCGGACTAGCACTTCATGCTAAACTAGTAGTTTTATCAGGTCGAACCATCTTTCGTTTCATTTATCTTAGCCGGGCTATTGATCCGTGCTATGTTTGTAATAGTATGCTTAAAAGCCTCGACCATGACCGAGCTACAACTCGGGGCTAAACCAGCCTTCTTAGTTCAAACCGAACTAAGAATGTTGCCCCTATAGGCTTAACCGGGCTAACAAATCCCTTGCTCAAACCGAGCTAACAAACCTTCGCTTGAACCGAGCTAACAAACCCCTTGCTCAAACCGAGCTAAGACACGAAGCTATTCATATAACCGAGCTAGGACTTCATTTATCTTGCCTGTGTTTCTTTTAGCACGGTCCAACGATCTGTGCTTAACCTTTGTTTTTCACTTTGCAGACTTAGGTTGCCTAGACACTCTTTTGAGCGCTCAACCGAGCTACTCGGCACCATTCTCCGACCGAGCTAACACCCAAGTATAATTTATTCATAACTTAAACCATAAATGGGAAAGTATAGGTTTTTAGTAAACACACCTGGTGGTATGGCTGAATTACGAAAGGATTACAACATCCCTGACGATGTTCACCTCACGTTAGCCGACCTAGATATCACACCATGGGGAAACCGTGGCTTTGTTCCCTTTACCCTTTTGTCCATAGTAGAAACCGGACTAAGATTTCCTGTTCAGCCTCTTCTCTGCGAATTTCTAAGGCAGACCAACCTTTGCCCAACCCAACTTTCCACCAATTATTACCGTATAATAAATGGTATTGCCGAGCTAAATCGTCGGGCTGGTCTTAACCTCGGCTTAGCAGAGCTCTTCCACTAATATTCTATAGGATTCGCCGAAGATGGATGGGTCTATTATTTAAGAATAAGAAACCGGCGTAAAAAGATAATAAAAGATACTCCGGACAAAGATGTGAACGACGACGATTTCTTCTGGGTATTTGGGAATTTTGAGGACCAACAAGCCCAGATCCCTGGTGACAGAATAAACTGGAACAAGGGTGTAGTCGGTAGGTTTATCTTGGCTCCTTTGTATGCCTTTCTTTACTTCGATTTTTAATATTTGAACCAGACCAACAGTTGTCTTCTTTTTATGCAGACTCGAACTTCCTCAAGTCATAGTACGGCTACCCCAACCTAGCTACACTTCGTGCCGCGCTACGATATCCAAACCGAAGTTGGACCGAGTTACTGAATTTTCAGCCGACCTACCGATACAGTGGCAAGCAAAAGACCAAGGTAACTGATTTCTTGTTGGAAGCTTCGCCTGAACCGGACCCAACCTTGCCCCAGATCAATTTAATTCCTCTAACTGCTGAACAAGAAATGGCCAAAAAGAGAGCCGTGCAAGCCCTTCTGACCGAAACAAACCCAACCGAGGTACCACCAGCCGATCAAACTCAAGGGACCGTGGTGGCGCTTCCTTCTCAACAACCTTCATCATCTTGCCCAAAGAAACGTGCCCGGACTACCCAAACCGAGCAACGTCTTGTTGATGAAGATGAAACCGTGGTTCCTCAAACCACTCTGCCAAGCCCTCCACCGAGCCCACAACCGGAGCGCTCTGGCCAAGCTACCTCCTCTAAGTGGGCTCCAAAAATCACCTTTCAGAACCGTGCTATCACAGATGCTGACTCAGTGGTCGCAGAGAAAGACCACCTGATGGCATTCAACCTGGCTAAAGGTGTTTGCCTTCCAGCCGACATGAGGCACCACGACCATTTGACCGAGCTAAAGGCCCTTCGCTCGTCCACAAAATCCATGGTGCTGGTAAGTTGCCCTTTTTTTCTTTATTTTTTGATTTTCTCAACTGTTTGCTCCGTTTAAAAAGTTACTCTCTATCCTTTTGCAGGCTATACAGAAAAACCACATCGCGCACAAGCGAGTGTTGGAACTTAGGAAAACAACAAGGCAGGCCATGGCAAAAGCGGATGCCAAATCGGCCGAGTCGAAAGAATGTCAACAGAAGACGGCCGAGCTAGAAGCCGAGGTGACCCGTCTAACCAGACTAGTTACCTTAGCTAATACTGATAAACAAAAGGCCCTAGCCGTGATGAAAGACAAATACCTGCGTGAGCTGGCCAAGCTCAAAGGGAAAAAGAAAGCCGAAATAACGGAGCTTGAGAAGAAGTTGGAGGCTGCAAAGGACCGGGGCTTTAAAGAGGGTGAAGCCCTATACATTAAGTAGTGTGACGCTGCAAAGGATCTCTTCTTTAAATGCGGGTGGAGGGGTGCTGTGGTGCAGCTCGGTCATGGGCCTGAGACCGAGGTCTTCAATCCTCCTCAATACTTCATACCAAGCTCACTGGCGGAGTATACTACTACCACTCAGCAACAGTTTCTTGAAGATTTAGATGAAGAAGAAATCGTGCCCAATGATACCCCAGTTGTCAATGATCCCGCCTGCCAGTCGGCTCGGTCGGAGCCAACGATGGAAGACCTGACTGTCGAACTACCAACTGAAATCGTGCTTCCAACCGAGACCATACTCCTGACCGAAACCGAGCTTCCAACTGAAACCGGGCTGCGAGTTGAACTTGATGCGGATCTTGATGATCTGTTTTCCTGACTTTGCATTCTTCTTCTTTTTGCTTGATTTCTGTATTTTCTTTTCTTTGCTTTTGGACACAGATTGTAATCGGGCTGAGGCCCCACCCTTTGTACTTGCTTTGAATTTTCAATGAAGTCTGCTTTTTTGTTCCAACTCTTATTTCGGTTGATCTCTATGCTTGTACTTTACTTTCTAACTGAAGTCTTGGATGAGGTACGACATTCTCTTGTCGAGATACTTTATCCCGGTCTTAATCATTGCAACTATAAGTATACCTGCCAACCACTCTTTAGCCGAGATACTTACCTCGGCTAAAGAGTACCAAGAGTTAGTTTAATCCAGCCAACCACTCTTCAGCCGAGATACTTACCTTGGCTGAAGAGTACCAAGAGTTAGTTTAATCCAGCCAACCACTCTTAGCCGAGATACGTACCTCGGCTGATGAGTACCAAGAGTTGGTTTAATCCAGCCAACCATTCTTTAGCCGAGATACGTACCTCGGTTGAAGAGTACCAAGAGTTGGTTTAATCCAGCCAACCACTCTTTAGCCGAGATCCTTACCTCGGCTGAAGAGTACCAAGAGTTGGTTTAATCCAGCCAACCTCTAAATTGGTTATTCCTGCCAATTTAGAATAAAGTGTTTGGTTATTCCGACCAAACCTCCTGCAGCCTGGATCCTTATCCTGGGCTTAGGAGGGGTGTTGGTTTTTCCAGCCAACCTCTAGATTAATTTTTCCAGCCAACCTAGAGTAAAGTGTTTGGTTATTCCGACCAAACGTCCTGCAGCCTGGATCCTTATCCTGGGCTTAGGAGGGGTGTTGGTTTTTCTAGCCAACCTCTAGATTGGTTTTTCCAGCCAACCTAGAGTAAAGTGTTTGGTTATGTCGACTAAACGTCCTGCAGCCTGGATCCTTATCCTGGGCTTAGGAGGGTGCATTGTTGGTTATTCCGGCCAACTTTGCTTTCAATGTCCCTAACTCACTAAAACGATCTTTTACAGAAGGAAACAACTATACTCAAAAGAAACTACTTATTTTATTGAGAAAGGAAAAAATTACAAGTATTCTGAAAAAAGGCTAAAAATAAAATAGTTTGAGATTGATAGTGTTCCATGGCCTGGGAATTGCTTTGTTGTCCTCATCTTCTAAGTGGTATGCCCATTTGCCAACTAATCCGACCACTTTGTAAGGTCCTTCCCAATTAGGCCCTAACTTGGCATCTCCTGGTACCGCGGTGTTTCCCATCACTTTGCGCAGTACCTAATCTCCGATTTTGAATTGCCTTTGATGTATTGTTTTGTTATACTTTCTGGACAACTCTTGCTGGTACGAGGCAATGTGAACCAGTGCTCTTTCTCTTCTTTCTTCGGCGAGGTCGAGCTCCAATGCTATGGCCTCTCCATTCAAGTCTGGATCAAAATTTTCGCTTCTAATTGTGGGGAGGCCAACTTCCAGTGGAATTACTGCCTCCATGCCATAGGCTAAAGAGAATGGTGTCTCTCTAGTTGATCGCCAAGGTGTGGTACGGTAAGCCCACAGAACATGAGGCAGTTCCTCAGCCCACTTGCCTTTTGCTTTTTCTAACCTCTTCTTCAATCCATCCAAGACAACCTTGTTTGATGCTTCTGCTTGGCCATTTGCTTGGGGATATGCCGGTGTAGAATTGTAGAACTCTATCTTGTATTCTTCACAAAAGCCTCTAAAGATTCTGCCATCAAACTGAGTACCGTTGTCTGATATTAGGGCTTTAGGTATGCCAAACCGAGTGATGATATTCTGCTAAACGAACTTCTTCACATCTTTTTCCTTGATTGATGCCAATACTTCTGCTTCCACCCACTTTGTGAAGTAGTCTGTTGCTGCAACAAAGAACTTCCTGTTTCCGGGTGTTGTTGGAAGTGGTCCTACTATGTCCAAGTCCCACATTGCGAAGGGCCATGGGCTGGTCAATGGTAGGAGCTCTCTAGCTGGCTGATGTATTTGGTGTGCGAACTTCTGGCATTTATCGCATTTCTTCACATACTTCTCCGAGTCTGCCTGCATGTATGGCCACCAGTATCCTTGTGAAATGGCTCTGTAAGCCAACGATCTTCCTCCTTGGTGGCTTCCGCACAACTCTTCGTGTATCTCGAACAAGGATGCTTCCACTTTGCTGAGGTGAACACACTTTAGATAAGCTCCTAAGAATGACTTTTTGTATAATGCCATAGAAGGGGAGAGCCAAAATCGCTGCGATTTTGCTCTAATTTTGTTGGCTTCTTTCTTTTCTTCCGGTAAAATGCCGTCTTTTAAGAACAGTATGATGGGATCCATCCATGAGGGGCTTAGTTCGACGCAACATACCTCTTCTACTTCGGGGTCTTCAATGCTTGGTTTTGGTAGGTAGTCGATTAGCAGCGGATGAGGGATGGATGTACTTGCCATTGAAGCAAAGCTTGCTAGTTCGTCTGCTCTGCTGTTTTCCTCCCTGCCAATCTGTTCTATCCTAACTACTTCAAATTTCGTGATCTCTTTTTTGACTTAGCCTTGGTACTTAGCCATCCTGTCATCCTTTATTTCGTAGTCGCCTGAAATTTGGTTTACCATCAGTTGTGAGTTGCTATAAACCATTAGCTCGGTGGCCTTCATGTAGAATGCTGATTTGAGACCTGCAAGAAGCGCTTCATACTCTGCTTCGTTGTTTGATGCTAGGAAGCCAAGGTTGACTGCTTGCTCCACAACTAGGCCGTCTGGTGAGATGAGGACTATGCCAAGTCCTACGCCGTGTCAGTGGAATGCTCCATCTACGAAGAGCTTCCACATCTCTCCAACGAACAATTTCCAGCAAGTGGAGGGGTCAGATGATGCCGTGGGGTCAAGAATGTTACTGGTGTTTTCTTCAAGGTCCATGCGTGCTGTCCGCCCCTCGCTATCTGATTGTACCAAGTCTTTATTTGTTGGTGAGTCTTGGCTTGGTGTAGCATGGTTCGCTTCTTCCTTGCTTTCTTTACTCTAGTCTGCCTTGGGGTCTGACTAAGTATCCTGCACCAGGGATTGCGCTATTCCGACGTCAACTTCTATCCTTAGTTCAGTTGTGTCAGTCAGGTCGATTGGACAGATATGATGACTTCCTGGGGTGAATTCTGCTACAAAGCCTGCCAAAGCTTGGGCCTTTATCGCGGTTCTGGGTTAGAACTTGATGTCGAATTGTCCCAAGTCTACTGCCCACTTCAAGATTCGCCCAGAAAAGTTCGCCCTCTCAAACAAAGCTTTTAATGGGAAAGCTATGAGGACGACTATGGTGTGGGCGTAAAAGTAGTGTGACAACTTCCTTGAGGCCATCATCAAGGCCAAGGCCAGTTTTTCCAGTGGCAAGTACCTTGTTTCGGCGCCCAGCAATGTCTTGTTGACATAAAAGATGGGCAGATGTTGGATTCCTTCCGCACGGACCAACACTGCGCTAATTGCGTGCTGAGAGACTGCCAGGTACAGGAAGAGTTTTTCTCCAGGTATTGGGTTGACAAGCAGTGGTGGAGAAGACATGTATTCTTTCAAGCTTTCCAGAGCGCGGTCACATTCTTCGTCCCACTCGAACTTGGCTTTTAATGCTTGAAAAAATGGTCGTAGTCTATCTAACGACCGGCTTATGAATCGGTTGAGTACAGCTACCATGCCGGTGAGATGCTGCACTTCTTTTGCTGTTTTTGGCCTCTCTAGATCCTGAATTTCTTTGATCTGAGAAGGGTCTGCTTCTATACCCCGGTTGGTCACCAGGAAGCCTAGGAATTTTCCAGATCCTACACCGAACGAGCACTTAGATGTATTAAGGCGCAACTTGTGCCTCTTCAGAATCTAGAACATCTCACCTAGGTCCCTTAGATGGTCATTCTCATCCTTGCTCTTGACCACCATGTCGTCGATGTAAGCCTCCATTGTTCTGCCTAACAACGGCTCAAACATCTTGGTGACCATTCTCTGGAATGTTGCCCCTGCGTTCTTTAGGCCAAAGGGCATGACCTTGTAGCAATACAGTTCTCTTGGAGTTGTAAAGGATATGACCTCTTGGTCTGGTTCGTACATGGCGATATGATGGTAGCCTCTGTATGCATCAAGAAAGCTAAGTCGGTTGTGCCTCGCCGTTAGGTCTACCAGTTGATCTATCCGAGGAAGAGGAAAACTGTCTTTTGGGCACGCCTTGTTGACTGTTCTGTAGTCGACGCAGACGCGCCACTTGCCATTCTTCTTTTTTGCTCTAATTTTGTTGGCTTCTTTCTTCTCTTCCGGCAGTACGCTGTCTTTTAAGAATGCTATGATGGGATCCATCCATGATGGGCCTAGTTTGGCACAACATACCTCTTCTGCTTCGGGGTCTTCAATGCTTGGTCTTGGTAGGTAGTCAATTAGCAATGGGTGAGGGATGGATGTATCTGCCATTGAAGCAAATCCTGCTAGTTCGTCTGCTCTGCTATTTTTTTCCCTGCCAATCTGTTCTATCCTTACTACTTCAAATTTCTTGATCTC